CATGATAATTTACCCCCATTTGAATAGTATCTGGAATTAATCATTTATGTCTTCGGTGAGTCAGAAAAGGGAAGGTTCATGGATTCACTCATGCATTCACTCAAATACATTTTGAGTATCTGAGCACTGGACTATGGGGATTTGGTGGTTAGAAGAGCATCTCGCTGTTGCCTTCGTTTTCTCACAAGTCGGGGTATGCAAGTTAGCAAGTCCCTGCAATAAAGTGGGGTGAATGTTGTGAGACTCTAAGCACAGGATGGTAATCAAATGAAGCCATTCATCTCTGGGGTCACAGAAGGCCTCCAGACAAGTGTAAGTCAAGTTCTGGAAGACACTAAGAACAGCAAAAGCTGGGGAGGCAGTGGCCAGGGAGAGATAGCTCAGGTAAAGGGGAATAAATTAAAAGAACAAGAAGGCAGTCAACGTGATTCCAATATGGGAAAGAATGCAAGAGGGAGGGAGGAGGCTGAAGACAAAGGCCGTGGCTGGAGGCTGGAGTTCTTAGCCGTTTAGAATGTTGTATTTCCTCCCAAGGACCATGAGAAGACAATGAGTTTATGTAAACTTTTGGTTTTTTACTTTTTATTTTTTGTTTGTTTTTTGTTTTTGTCTTTTTGAGACAGGGTCTCACTGTGCAGTTCAGGTTGGCCTTGAGCTCACTTTGTAGCCCAGGCTGGTCTCGAACTCACAGCGATCCTCCTGTCTCAGCCTCCCAAGTGCTGGGATTACAGGCATGTGCCACCACGCCCCGGCCAACTTTTGTTTTTTTAAAAGAGGTAAGGCTCTCACTGTGTTGCTTTTTTGGACTTTTTTTTTTTTTGGTACCGGGAGTCAAACTCATGACCTCAGGCTTGTGTCTAGTATAAAAGAAATGATCAGCTTTGGCTATTGTGACAATCTTGGTTGTTATTTGAGGCAGATTTTCTTTCTCTTGCATTGCTGGGGAGTGAACTCACCGAGCTGCACATGCTCTGCCACTGAGTTATATCCCCAAGCACTAGAAATTTCTATGAAAAAAATCAACCTTTTGGTACACACAGCAAATTTTAACAGGAGGGTGGAGCCAGGCATGGTGGCATGTCCTGTAATCTCTTTACTTGGGAGGCTGAGGCCAGAAAACCAAAACCAAACAAACAATACATAATAGCATGCTCCTCTAATCCCACTGCTCTGGAAGCTGAGGCACAGAGAATTTGAGGTTGGCTCAGACAACTTAGCAAAACCTCATCACCAAAAAAAAAAAAAAAAAAGTAAACCTAATCATCAACATGGAGAATGAAAGAGGAGGAAGCATAGTAGGGCAGCAGAGAGCTAGAAATTTAGTCAGAGAGGTCTGGATTCAAATCCTAGCTCCATCATTTATTACCTATGTGATGCTGGAAAAAGCACTCAGCTTCTGTAAGCCCCAGTTTTCTCATCTGTAAAATCAGATTAAAATAGCACATAGCTCACAAGATTGTTGGGAGGGTTAAGATAATGGAGTGCCTGATATAGAGTACATGGTCCCCAGGCAATCCCCACTAAGTGAAATGGGAGAAGTCAGCACCTGTTTATTTCCAGATGTAGTTCGTATAATCTGAACATCTTTTTAAGTGCCAGGAAAACTTCTGTGGTTTTATTGTTTTCTGAAGCATCAAAGCATCAAAGCATCTGAACAAGTGTCTATCTGGGTGATGTGACGGCTGCTTTTTCCTTCCCTTCTTTGGGTTACTAGCTCAACTTGTCAGATTAAAAAAAAAAAAAAAAAAAAAA